GTTTACAGGGTTTGTTTCCTAATTGTTTGTACTAGTCCTGAAAAGCCTCTTTGGGGAGTGTACAATTATTATTATTATTATTATTATTATTATTATTATTATTATTATTATTATCATCATCATCATCATTATTATAATTTAATCACAAATTTTTCTTTCAGTTGTTTTCCATTGTTGTGTTTGGTTGTATTTCTGCGGGTGGTTATGATAATAATGGCGTTTGCCTTTTTAATGAAGAAGCTGGTGCATGCCACTATGGTGTCGGAATTGGTATCATTGCATTCCTGGGCTGCATTGCATTCCTTGCCTTAGATGTACAGTTTGAAGCCATTGAAAACCCTGATACAAAGAAGTACATTGTTTTGGGTGACCTAGTTTTCTCTGCACTTTGGTGCTTCCTGTGGTTTATTGGATTTTGTTATCTTGCGGACATGTGGAGGAAGGCAGTCACAGATCCTTTACGTACTTCTCAGATTAACAATTGTCAGGCTGCTATAACATTCTCATTTTTCTCTATCATCACATGGGTAAGTGGATCAAATGAGGAAAGGACATCAATGTATTTGTATTTTCCTTAATAATCATTGGTTTTTTTGCTCAGATTTAAGTTGACTTTCATATTTTAAATTAATTTTCTTAGTTTAGGGTTGAAAACAAAAAAAAAAAAACCAAGAAACAAGGAAAAAATAAGGACAATTATGGCAAAAAAAATTATGATGCTATCCCATGGCATTCACAAAAAGTACTGTACAGCCCCTATTTCATGGATAAAAAAATTCCCACTGCACTTAAAATACAGTGTACTTGTGGTTTATTGCTTGAAAATTTAAACCAGTGTAAGCCCACTCCATAGATTATTTTTCTAATGGAAAACTTGTTTGCCTGAATCTTTGGGTGTTTTTTCTTTATGACAATATTTATTTTTTTCAACATAAAGAGAAATTTAGAATTTGGTTTTTGATTACATTACACCACCTTCTTAAGTATGTCTTTCATAGATCATATTTACAAAATGCTATTTGCGACCATTGCTGGTTTCATGGAAGAAAACCTTCAAAATGAAAAGTTTACTTACTTTGATCCCAAATTGAATTGTACACTACAGGTTGTATGACTGATGATTTTTCACCTACCTTTTTTACAGTGTTGTTTGTTCACCTGTAATTAAATTTCTTTGTGATAAGCTCACGTGATATCACTTTTCTGAGAATAAAACTTTGGTAAATTTAATCATCCATTTTCAGGCTGGTCTAAGTGTTACAGCATTCAGGAAGTATCGTCAGCTCTTGACAGAGTTTGAATACTCCAGGGATAATCTTTCTGGAGATTCCTATTCATCACCATATGCATCATTTCCAACTGCTCAAGACCAAGGAGATCCTTATCAGGCAAAACCATTCTCTGAACCACCAGCTGATAGTTTTAATGGTGAAGATGCTGCCAACAAGTTTTCTCCCCCACCATACTGAGTGCAGTAGACTCTTCTTGATATACCATGTTGTATGATAGAGATTTTCACTAAATAACATTTTAATTAACCCCTTAACTCCCATGAGTAACCAAGAAGGAATTTCTCCTTACAATATCAATACAATATCTAGAAGACAAGTTGTAAGAATGAAGGAAAAAACTGTTAGGGGAATATAAGTTTTCCAAAAATGAACTCTCTCAACTAACATCATAAGAATTGTATGGGAGACAGTAAGGAGAATTTCTACTGAGATCTTCGGAGTAAGGGGGTTTTAACCCTTTAACTCCCAGAGGTGATTAACGTGGTACTTCTCCCTATAATATCTATTCATTTTCTAGCAAACAGGTAATGAGGATACACACTTATCAGGAAGAGGTTCTCTTGATCTAGCACCAAATTCTTAAAAAGGAGTTTGTAACAGTTAGAGGGGAGAATTAACAATCAGATCTTGGGAGTTAAAGGGTTAAGAGCTGTGAAATCTGTTTAAAAAATGTGTTTCCAACCCTGATTATGCACTTCATTTTTAAAGCAACCTTGTTTACAGGTGGGAAATTTTTAAGTTTGACTTATTACTGATTAATTGCTTGCCTGTGGTGGTACTGTAATTGGTTATTCATTCTATTTCTTTATGTTCAATCAGACTAAGACACCTGAGCTATTTAGTTTTGATTTCCATTTTTGGTTGAGAACAGGAGAACAGTTGATCCTTTCTGACAACAAGATATAAATTTTAGCTTCTAAAAAACAAGACAAAGTGTTTTTTGTCAAATATGCAATTCAGAGTGAGCTGCTATTTAGTTGATCAATTATGTGACTACATGTACTGTTACAAATACACTGTAGTTTTTTTTACATTTGTTAACTGCTAAAAAATGATATAATAACCATGACCTATTGGCTGTTGCCTAATCAGTGTAAGTCAGAGTTTAAAAATGTAAATTTATGTTATCTTTAAGTCTTCTTATTTTGTGCATGCAGATCTTGTTAGTGATCTTACCAAGACAAAATGATTTAATTCCCTAGTCTTTGTCATTTTAGGATAAGTTATAATTAAATAAAAAGGAAAGTGAGGTGATAGTTTTGAAGAATTGAAACATTCAGCAGAATGGTAGGGTTTAAAAGAGTTAAAATGTTGTGCTTGTATGTAAATTTTGCCCATTGTTAATCACTTTGCAACTTGTGGATGTATTAAGGAGCCAACTTGACTGTTGTAAGAGTAACAAGCTTGCAAAACTTCCTTCAAGGCCATTTAACAAGCATAAAATTAGATCTTCCTTATAACTGGTTCTAGTGAGCCTTACTGCTTGTTGTCAAACAAGATTAAAAATTTGTGCATTTAAAGGTCTTGATTCAAAAGCATGTTCTTCTGACTTCTTTTGGTAGACCCAGACAAAACCGGATTAACCAAGGAAGTAACTAAAAATATTTTAATCCTTTCAGGGTCACCCTACTAATTTCAGGGTTGGAGACATAAAATTGGAGAAACAATTTATAGGTGAAATGTTCACACCAGGACAACACCCAATAAATATCCTTGAATGATGGTAAATCTTTGACTTGGTTGTCACCAAATCTTTCATTTGAATGGATTGGCCTACTTTTTGAAAACAGTGGCATATTGGTATCAAGAATTTCTCAATTTGTAGGACACATGTGTGAGTGGTGACATGGTCCCTTAGAAAAAGCTGTCACTCTGTGATGTGGGGAACATTTTCACTATATAGGAAGACATGAGAAACCACTGGAAATTGAACAAGATTGAAAGACTTTGCAAGAAATGGTGACATTTGTTATCTCACCATTATAAACGACCTTTTGTGCACAACTTAAATTTGTTTTTACTTAAACTCTACATAAGGGAGAAACTGGAAAAGGTCTTTGATGTAAAAAATACAGTTGGGGAGCTAAATTTGATCTTTGTAGTTACATGCATATTTCAACACCATAAGATTGCAAGTCAATTTTGTTACCTTTTCGTATAAGTACTGGGAATACATTATCAAGAAAAATACCATTTTAATTATTCTGTTTAAATTATGAGTGTTGAGCTTGTACAAACTAAGTCATACACTAAACATGAAACTAATGTACAAGATAATACAAAGTTTCACTGTGCCAGATATTAAGGTAGATATTTGAAAAAACTAGATTTCAATTTTTTTAAGTCCCAAAATTCATTCACTTTCAAATGGTTAATATGACATCATTATTTTGTCTTGTTATGTTTGATTGGCACTGAACCAGGGCTGTATCTTCCCCAGTAATCCACAGCCACGATGGAATACCAGCCTTCTACATTATTTCTGTCTGCTGCAAAACCAACAATTTATTCAAATCCATTTGATGTTATTCAATATCTCACACAATGCTGTAGTCCACAGTAATAGCTGCCTTGTGATAATTGTGTGGAACAAGTTATATTAATCTGATAGTGGATAACTTAAACAGTCTCCAGTCATGTACGATAAGGCAGTGTTGATCAGAAATGATTATCCTTTAGATACAAAAATCAATTAAGAATCACTATTGCCATGCCTTCTGTAATTTTCCGCTTGTTGATGGTGCTTTTTCAAAATCAGTTTCAAACTTCAGTATCAGAAAGGCAGAACAGGCACAATCATAACAGTTGGTCAAAACAATAATTAACATGAGAACTCGAACTATATTACAGCTACAAGTAGTACTGGTAACCGATCATTTCGCACAAAAGACTTTTCGCACAAGTGTTTTAGCACAAGTTTTGGACCGTTCGGACAATTCTTAGTGGTCATTTCGCACAATAATCATAAGTGAGAAACATCAATATAAAAGGTATACTGATTGATACTGATAAGTCATTTCACCTTCACATGATCCAACGGCGAGAACGTAGACATTTATTTACGTAATAACTTCAACTAGATCAAAATGCACGTGAACACGATTACTATTCTTTCTTGAAGAAAGGAAAGGTACAAGTCTCTCTCTCCATGAAAATGGAAAGAACTCCCTATTCGAACGACTACTTCTATAACGTTTTCTTTGTCGAACGAAAAACCTTTTAGTTTTGACAGTATCATCCACTATAAAGTTAACATGAAAACATGACGACCCACGCTAAGGACACCGTGTTGATTTCGAAAGTAATTGTCACCAGTCTTCCCTCTTTGTTCGATCGCCTTCAAATAGTATGTTTTATCGATCTGTAAGAGTTTCAAATAAAGCTATTGAAAACTTGCTTCTCATATCTTCGTTGTATAATGAAAATTAGGCATACTGGTAATACGTACAGCAAAAACAGTTCAACGGTGATAACTCGATATTCAGAGAGTGATTCACATCGAATGTCGGCACGTGCAAGTGTTGTGATTTGACAACTTGAACGTGTAAGTGTAGGTAGTAAATAGTGATCTTGTAGAAAGACAAGTTCGATCTGTAATCATTTTAAAGATCGAGAAGTTTAATACATCTATCAAGATGTAACCTTTCAAATTATTCTAATAACAATTACCTAAGCGATGGAGAGTTCAGTATCGATCGATAAGCGTCATAGCGACCGTGATGTAAACAAATGATTTCACGAAAGTTTCAAGAATTCAAAATAATTCAAAGATTATACGCTAGCCGTTCGATAAGTAATCATACAAGCTTAAGATCAAACAAATAAAGAAATTTAGAAGTACTATAGCTTAAATGAATGCAGGAAAGGGCTAAATTTCTATGAGTCTTGACCGAGTAGCGAGTTAAAATTTGCATGATTCGTCGGAAGCCGGTCGTTTCGCATACAAGTCGATTCGCATACATCGAGGTAGTTTCGCCAACACGATCTTGGTCGATTCGCATACATCAAAGTCGTTTCGCATACATTGAAAAAAAAAAAGAAACTCTAACAGGATAGCTATAAACTTAACCTCAACCCTGCGATATGCGCGTGTTGTTATTGCGTCCTGCGTTATTTTTGTTTGGCACAGCGAACGCGTTGACAGCGCGTAAACTAAGTTCAAGTTTAATTTGTCATGCACTATATCTAGAAGAATTTTGTTATGTTGTTTATATGCTTTTTGCGGTTTGTTACTGCAAACGTTCTTTCAGGTGTTAATAAATTTTCCTTGCCATACCTGGTCAGCTGCCTTGATGATACATCAGACTTTAGATGACTTCGATGGTGTTGTCGAGTGTTGAAGTTATTTGTAACTCTTATAAATAAGAATTGAGCAAAATAAAAACTATTTAATCGACTGATTGTTCTTACTTCGTTCTTAAAATTTTGGTTAACCTCAACCTTGACCTTCTTTTAAGAAAGGTTCTTGATAAAAAAAGAGTGTAATTTCTTTAATCTGAGATTCAAAACCGAGGATTCATGGAGCGTCTACATGATGGCCATTAGAAGTAACAATGACATAGAAGGGTGGCATCATGGGCTTCACCGCCGTGCCTCAGGAAAGTGGCATATGCCATTCTACATGCTGCTTGACCTCCTCCATCAAGAGGCCCGCCTTACAGCATTACGCATTCGTCTAGTTTCCAAGAAAAAACTTAAAAGGATCCAAAGGGCAAAGTATCGTTCTCTCCAAGCCAAAGTTTTCGCTCTCTGGGACGCTTTTAGTCACCAAAGAAAAAACGCACAGCAGCTTTTAAGGGAATGCGCCCGTCTTAATGGACCGTCCAGACAATACACTCAGCGCTAAATTAACATGTAATTTCTCGATAGCTAGGTAAACTTTGCAAGTTGTAAATAGTTCCCTAACATACACACTGTCATGCACACACAATATTGACATACAGACTTTCTCCCTTGTATTCCTTAATCTGAGACACATTATTTTCAATACAACTATTTATAGGACGCGTGACTACCAGAGTCACGCACCTGTTCCTGCTTTGTATCTCGCTAATTTAGAAGAAATGAAATACTTTTGTTTATACTATAAAACTGTTGTTGCGTGATTTTCCTTTTAACCTTAAAGGAGCTACGTCACGATATTTCTTGGATGACCTTAATTATGGTTAAAGTGTTGGGAAATAATAATGGTTGGTTAAAGAAGATAACACCACTAGGATGATTCTAAAACAAAAAGGAACAAAGATGACTGAGGATGAAGAAATGACGATTTTGAAAAGTTAAGCTATTTTTTTCAAGATATACGAACTATGACGTAGCTCCAATTTCTAAAGTTTTAGTTACATGCTCAAAAATGTTTTCTATTTCTCTAATTACTGTTTGCTATACAGTACATGAATGCCAAAATAAAAATAAACAAGCGGAGACTGGGCACTAGCAGTTTCAATATTATTTTCGGCCAGACCAACTCGTATGACCAGAAGGTATTTGGAAGTTTTCTTTGGTGTTCTGAAATTAGTTTAAAGTGGATTAGGCTTGCTGAAACTTGTTTCCGCTTTTTAAGAGTTTTTTAAGAGTTCATTTTTTATCAATGCGAGCAATATTCAGAAAGAAAGTCCTGGCGCGCGTAGTAAGCCACCTTGAGTAATGTTCGCTACACAAAATAACTTCGAACTTAGATTGGGTAGGCGAATCGACCTTTTTGTATGCGAATCAACTCAAATTGTGTATACGAATCTACTTTAATGTCGTTGATTCGAACTGTATGCGAAACGACTTCGATGTATGCGAATCGACCAAGATCGTGTAGGCGAAACGACCTCGATGTATGCGAATCGACTTGTATGCGAAACGACCGACATCCGATTCGTCGGGTAACATGGCCGTGAACTTGAATTTTATATATTTACACAGAAATTTTGTAAATAGGTCTTTTCTCCTTTTAAATAAAAGTGAAACAGTTTGCAGGTTTCTACTTTGACTTCAGAGGAGGGAGGATTGGTGACAATTACTTTCGAAATCAACATGGCGTCCTTAGTGTTGGGTCGTCATGTTCGTTTGTTTGTAGTGGATGATGTACTGTCAAAACTAAAAGGTTTTTCGTTTAACAAAGGAAAAGTAAAAGAAGTAATCGTTCGAATAGGGAGTTCTTTACATTTTCATAGAGAGAAAGATTTGTTCCTTTCTTCAAGTAAGAATAGTGATCGTGTTCACAAGCGTTTCGATCTAGTTGAAGTTATTACGTAAATAAATGTCTACGTTCTCGCCGTTGGATCTTATTGAAAGTGACATGTGAAGGTGAGATGTCTTATCAGTATCAATTAGTATACCTTTTATATTGATGTTTCTCACTTATAATGACCACTAAGAATTGTGCGAACGTTCCAAAACTTGTGCTGAAAGACTTGTGCGAAAAGTCGGCTTTATCCTGGTGTACCGGTTAACCAAAATATGTCCTGGTGTGCCGGTTAACGAAACTTGCGTGACATTGGTCAATCGAGTAATAGCGTGACAGCTAGATAATTTGATAAATAATGAATGCTTTGATAATAAAATACAATAAAATGCCGGCATTGGTTCATTGTTGGGTTATTTGAGTCGTTTGATTATAACTTTAGTTTTTACTCCGTGTAACAGCATAGTGCAGATGATTTATGACCAAATTCAGAGAGACTTGCTATGCAGATTCACATGATCAAACGTTCCTTTCAATGCTAGTTTAAAATAACTACTGAAATGTAAGCATATTTTACCTTGAGACATCATATGATGAAAGCTTGTGAAGATAACATCAATTTCATTAACTCGTTTAAAAGGTCCACCAGGACTTTTTTCTGAGTACAGGACTTCAAAGGTAGTGATGCATCTACAACCATTTAGGATGTAGTAAATAATTAGCATGAGTGACTATGGTCCATTTTAACCACTGTCAGAGATCACAAATGGACAAGTGAAGCCTTACTTCTATGTACTTGAAAAATTTTGTCTTCAATAGTGCCTGACAAAACTAAATTTCACTTGGAAAAGAACTTTGATACACATAACAGAAACAATCTATGTAAGAATTGGCCACTTTAATAGAAGTATAAAGATGGGAATATTTCAAATGAGCTTTAAATTGTATCAATATCTATTTCCCCCATTTTTGAAAAACCACAGAAAACATAGTGCAACACTGGACAAGAGAAGAGAGGGATAAAATTAAGGGTATCAGGAACAAAAATGTCATACTATTGCAGAATTTGTGAACTATTTTGTCACAGATTGTAGCACAGCAAGGATTTTTATTCACCTTGATGGTACATCCTTCCAGACCACAAGAACCTCATATGGAGAAACAGAAATGAGTCTCACTCCTTCAACCTGTCGTGAAAAACAAAGAAAAGCACAGTATGCTAACAGAGTCCCACTCACTATAGTTAATTATGATCCATTAAATATTCTTGCTCCTGCACAATTGGTCTAAATGCATCATGTGACAGAATATCCCCTAGCTAAAACTGGGAGATATTCAAGGATATCACCCAAGTGATATTCCCCAATTTCAAACCCTATGTCTGCTACCATAAGTCTTTGTTTGAAATTTAATTCAAGAAGAGAGAGCATTTATGGTTGTTACAGAAGGGAAATATAATTTTGTTCACAAAGTCATACTAGAGAATAGGCTAAAGAAAACACCCTACCAGCAAACAGTAAGCTGTTCATAAACTTTTTTTTGCACGTTGCAAAAAATTTGAAGGATAATAAACACAATAGCCTCAGTCTACTTTGTGCAAAAATATGCTCATTTAATCATCACTGGATTATCTGCTCCCCGAAGCCCACAGTTTTCCTTGGGCTTCATTCTCAGGAAACTGTTCACATCTTAGAGCAGATAATGTCCATGGACAAATATCCATGCATATTTTATCCCCAAATAGAAGCTATTATTTATATACAACTGCTGATTGTAGATATTGAACTAATCACACATCATTAAGTGATGGAATGTCAAGCTGAATCTATGAAGCTGAACAAACAAGACAGAGTTCTGTGTAGGTCAGGTCCAATAAGAACCTGATTTGCAAACATGGGTGTGGAAATGAGGACTTCATGGATGCATAGTTTAATGGTCAGGAGTATTTACCACTTTGAAGGCTAGTGCAATTGCTTCAGGCTGTGTAGTCCTAAGAGCACCCTTGGTGTTTACACACCACACATGCATCTTTAGAAGTTGTCGCTCTGCCTCCACTCAATAATGCAGGGACAATGCCCTTAATAGGATGGACAGGGTACATTCCCACATGCATGACACAAGGTGTTATTTGCAACTTAAATGTCAAAAAAACTCATCCCCAAAAATTTTTGGATATAATACAAATAGAAAGTGGTCCAGATGCCCCCTACACGCACCTAAACCCCGGCCTCTCAGACCATCGAGCTGAAAACACTCAAATTATTATTATAATTTGATAGTAAGGTCAAACCCTGAAGTATACTGAAGACAATTATGTCATTGATATTATCATATCCATTGAAAGGGTGCAGCTTTAATTAACATTTATGCTTCTTAGTTTGGTCTACTTTCATTAATATACAGTATGAAAACTTGCCTAAAAACTATAGTGAGACAAGAATGCAAACTGAACCTTAATAAGAACTGGCCAGACTTTGAAGCAAAAGTGTTAATAGCTTCAGCCTGTTGACAAAAATTTGGCTTGAAGAATATTCTGACCATTTAGCTCAATTGTGCATACATGCGTATCATTGACCCCCTCTTTGTTATGAATTGTGACCTTGCCTTTGAAAAACTCAGAAATCTGTTATTTATCTGATTAAATAGATTACTAATTAATGACTCAACACATAAGAAGCATTTTTTTTAGTTAATAAAATGTAATATTAGTAGGCTCCACCACATATTTTCCATTCTACAACAGTTTTATGGTAAGTTAGAATGTGGAGTGTCACAGAAGGCAAGGAAATTTGACCATAATAAAAGAAGTTATTTAGTAAAAAATTTTTTGAATAAACACCACCAGTACCCCTTTAAAGGTTATATTTGAAGAACATTTCAAAGATTTCGATCTTAAAAGTCATGTTTTGTATGGCTTAGATTGGCTAGATTATCAATCTTTCTCATTGCTTGGTTTTGTTTAATCAGCTCCAATTAAACTGGAAGCACTTTGATATTATTCCCAGTGGTATATCTCACCTTTGGAGGGGCTGAGACAGTCTTTGCACAAACATGTAACAAACTTACTCCAGGAAGAGGAAGGGTTAGATGGAGGTTCAATGTACTGGAAGAGACTATGCTTGGACCAAGACTTCTAATGGGTTCCTGTACATAAAAATTAATTAGTACTGCATTTAACAAACAGATTGGCACTAAGGTGCTCAACTGTTTAATTATGGAACTGACCTGGTGTGTGTGTGTCCTTCTTTTTTAATAGTTCTGTGGTAACCTCATTGCAAGTTTGATTTCAGAGCAATGACTTTTAAGGCCTATGCCAAGAAATATTTAGTTGGTAACATCTTGACATAAATGGACTGTAATATGTAGTGAGTGCAATTTAGTGGATTCAACCTACCGGAAACCTTAACCCATACCCAATGGCAGAACTAACTCAAAGTCCCTTCCCAAGGCCCCAGCTTGGGAAAATAACAATCCCCCTACTACAGTGATCTAGCCCACTGGCAAGATCACTATTATAATAGCAGGGGGCAGTTACCATTGTCATCCAAGACAACAATAGGCTGAGAAGAACTCTCCCATAAAAAAACAATAACTTTTATCCACAAAGTAAACCCCATTGACCAATAAGTCCAAAACCTACCCTCCCCACCCTCAAGCTTTAAACACACAGCTGTTAGCAACCCACCCTTAAGTACACCTTAATGGGTTCCTTCCAGGTGGTATACTTGATTTTAAGCTCCTTCCTGTTTTAGGCCAGAGCTGAGCCTGCCTTCAAGCTAACAAAAACCAAAAGATGTCCATTGTCTGGCCATGGACACCAGATTTGGCTTCAATTTCCCTATAAGCACTAAAACATGGAATGACCTAAAACCACCTAAAACCACCTACAACCACCTACAACCATCTAAAACCACCTAAAAAATTTTGACAACCACCTACAACCACCATCTACAGCCACTCGCAAACTATCTAAAACCATTTAAAACAAGGCATAAATGTCTCAAATAAGGCAAGACGACAACACATCACACACATGAAATATTAGAATTGAACAAAACCTCCCCCTCCCCCTGAAATCTTACTCTCCCTGGTTCCCTGTATAATCAACCATCTCACAAAATGAAATGCAAGAGCATGCTAATTATATTTGTATTCCCTCAATAGCAAAAGATTTAAAGAATTTTTACAAGATTTGTATTGCGGTTGTAGGTGGTTGTAGGTGGTTTTAGGTGGTTTTAGGTCGTTCCATATTTTAGTGCTTACGCAATTTCCCTGCATTTCATTGGCCAGGCTGGCTTGAAGGTGGATATTGCCAACATTTAAGCGAAAAAAACTTAGGAAACAGGCATTTGGAAGAACCCCCCTCCCAAATATGATGCTTTTAACATTATACCACCCTCCATAAATTGCATTTCAGCCCACTAGCTAAGCAGTGACAAGGCATAAGCCTGACTGCTAGTCAGGTAAATCAGCATAGTGTCATAATAGGCTTAAAAGCCCTTTCCACCAACAGCAGAAAATTATAATAGGCTGAGGAGTCCAAACCATATCCTTCCCACACCTGGGCTTTAGTCACATTCAACTTCTAATGGACTGGTCCCTGCACTACATCTAGGGCTGGCCTTAACATTAACCCCCTCCAATATCATCATCCAGGCTGACTAGGAAAAATAAATCTTGGAGATTTAGTAGACATATTCATAGCCTTGCAATTTCAACCACTTAGGATTAGCATTCAATTTGTCATTCCAACCATATCTTGAATCCTAAGACTCTCTTGCACTGAGCAGTATTCAGCTTTTCTATGGTTTTATTTAATTCTTTTCTTTGTAACTGAAACTTAAATTTTTTGTCCAGCAATCAAGCTGGTTTCAAACTCAATTTCAATTCATCTCTCACAACAAGCTCCTTGCTTTCTAAGGATAAGATGACAAAGAAGAAGTGTCAATGACATGCAACTTTGAGTAATTATCTCAAATGATGTGGCCATTAGTTGCCCTCTTCCTGAAATGCTTTTGAAAGAATGAAGAAAATCGAAATTGTTTACTCTTGAAATTTGTCTCAATGTCTTTTAAAAAAATTCACCACTAACTGGGTGGGCAAAACTTTAGAATCTTGCATATTTGTTTTGGTTGGAGTCTCTTGTATTCAAAGATAATTGAAACCTATAGTATCTATTAGAATTTCTACCTTAAAAGATGACCTTCACCATTCAAATAACACCTCCTCTTTTACTCAATAGACTTGTGTCTACATAGTTGGTTTTGTTGAGGGACTATCCCATTACATTGCTCTTCCCTTAGGAATATTTGATATCACACATCAATTTTCATCACTGGCTAGGTTACCTGATGAAGGCGGAGCATATGAAATTGTTCATCAGAAGGAAACTTTGGAGAACCCATCTCCTTCCACATTTGAAATGGATTTCCATGTTCATTATCCAGTTTATATACAACAAATGCTACATCTTGTCTCAATGGCAAGTTCAAAACAGTTAAGTTTATTTCTGAGACAGAAGTTCTGCCAGATGTATCATTGCTGTTGTAGAGCACAGCTGCCAGTTCCCAATCATTGGTATCACAGTGTCTTTGAGGCTTCAAAATACTCGCCACAATTCCACAGTCTTCATTTTCTCCAAAAGAAGAAACCTTAATTTGCTGATTTCCTAGCAGTGCTAGCAACCCCATAACATTAAAAATTGGTTTCTTAACAAATTCTACCTTCCGTGGATGAGAATGGTTCATTTGAAATCTTGCCAGTAATGTGCGTTGACGGAAGTGGACTGGAGGATAACTAATAAATCCATTATCATTGCTTAAGAGGTTATATCTAATGAGAAATGAAACAGAAATCATAAAAGAAAAGCTTGTTCTTTTACACTCAAATCTGGTCAGGCATAACACTGGAGGGACTACTGAATCAAAAAAAAAAACTTGAGGATAGAATGATTTTCACTATCACTAATCACAAACCTGATGCTGAAATTACTCTTTAAGAACCAGTCCTGATGTTGAACCAGAATCTGCAAATATTGTAAAAATGAGTTCATCTGCATTGGCTTAGAACTTGGATTTACTCTGCCACACCACAGTGAGATTGATAGAATCTCTTCAATTAAAGTTTATGTACTGATTAACCTAATTACTAAATACAGTCTACAACTAAGTTACCACCCAAGCCGAAGGATTGGCTTACATCACACCATCTTACATTATCTTTCCTTCAAAAAGAAAAAAAACGCCAAGCAAAATTAAATAACTAAGGTTTATACATAACTAGGAGTGCCAAGTAACCTTATTGTCAAAAAGAAAGTGTCATTTTCAAACATAAAATGGGATTAACTGAGGACAAATAAAACCATTAATGATTTCAAACACTAAAACTTTAAAACCTGAACCTCAAAACAGAGATAAGGAGTAAACGAAAAGACATTTGATAGGTGGCTATAAAACTAGAAATTAGCATGCACAGCTTAACAAATAGATTCCATGTTGCTATGTACTTACTCTGTAATAAATCTCAAATGTCGTATTAGCACAAAAAAGTGGCATTGCATTACAAAGGAGGCAATGATCTTTTTCTCTCACCTTGACAACAATAGCAGCATATGTTGCATCTGCTCTCCATTCTTCAGCTAAATTCCAACCTACCAAAGGGTCTCCTTCATCATTATATATTGGTGTAGTTATGTATTTTGGAATCAGTTTAGCAATTTCTCCAATAACCACTGTTTCATTATGTAAAATCGTTAAAGAGTGTCCTTGACCTTTGATGTGAAAAGAAATAAAATCTAGTCTAACTCCTCTCTGCCCAGTAAAAAAGTTAGTACCATTGTTGCAGTGTTGCAGTAGAGACTGTAAAACAAAGACCAAAGGAGACCAAATTAAATAAACAAGTCAATTATTTGCACTCTATCTATCAAATGCAGGCCATATATCATAATTGTGCATTATCATAATATACCATACAATTGCTTTTCTCCAAATGCAAACCATCCAGTACACTAAAACATTAAAAGTTAGTAGTTATCCTTTCCACATTTTGAAGCCAAATCTTAAGACTATGATTAGGCAATATGCTAAACAACAAATTTAATCTAAAGATAGTGTTAACCTCACAAAAAGTTAAAACCAGGGCAGATGTAGAAATAAAACCACTCAAACCTCTATTTGTAATAGTTACTTACAAAATGATATTATCTGAACAAGTCCTTAATTATTTAATACTATTTGATGGTTTCACAGGTAGGTAATTACCCAAAATATAGGATGTTTGTCTGGGTACCCTGTGGCAGGCCCTCCTAGTCGCAGAGATGGATGGGCCATCTTAAGTCCTTCAGAACAAGCATCATAATACATGAGATATCCTTTAGTGGAGACATGGAGACCATCAAAATGCTGTTTATTCTCTGGTTCATTCCATGACTCAAAGTTCCACTGACAAATTTCCTCTAACCCAAAGACCTCTGCCATAAAAGAACAAGAGATGAACCATAAACTACTTAATATGCAAAAAAATTATCTTTATTGGCTGAGCAGAGTAAGCTTTGTCATGAGTCACAAAATATGTAATAATAATTTTTGTTTAACCAGCAATCAACCAGAATTGACTCTGCCACCATGGTGCACCAGGAAGAAAATTCTCAATGGTTAGACTTCCTAGTTCTGAAATGCATCCTAAAAACCATCTTTATGACTTATACATTTTAAAAATTGAACAAAAATTGCAAGTTTATTTTTACATGATGTTGCCTCCTATGATGAAAACTTCCCTCATATAACATGTGGTACCACATCAGAAACATTCATAAGGTGATGTTTCTTCTGATGTCTAACATTAAATAAGTACTTGGGAGAAATACAGCTGAGGGAAATCTGATTCCCATACAGAGCTGTTAATCTCTAGATTGGGAGATCAATATAAACAAAATAGATTTTACCAGTGAAGGTGTAAAACCCTGTTAAACAACATGAGGGAGCTTAAGTGATGAGTAACAATGAGATGCCCACACAAAAGTACAACAGTAACAAACAGAAAAGTGAAATGGCATTGGGTAGAAGAAATTGTATTTTACAATACAGTTAACCTTTCTGTGAGTATTGACAGTCTACTGTGTGACCCTTGTGGTTTGACTCTCTTCTATCATCTTCTCATCTCACATATCACGTCATGCTTTATGTGCCCAACATCCTGATTTAACATTATCTGGGTCTTTTCTCTCTGTGTTCCCATGTCGCACTTTGCAAGGCTATTATGATGGGGGGCGGTGGTGGAGGGGGCAATACAAGTATATTCCTACACTGAACGTTCTGCAGAGTATTTTAACTTCGACAATGCTTAGTATTACATATTTTGCATTATAATTCTGCATTTTTGTTTGAATTTGCAAGATATGGCAGAAAATATGTTCAAAATACCAAAATGTAATTCTTCGTTTTCTTTGACGTGGATAATTCGATGAACGGAATTGCCATGAATACGGTCCGGGTTTGTAGGCCTTGGAAGCATGGGATTATGCTACATTCTTCATTCTAAATGCACTCTTAAATTCTGAGTATTTACCGATGAGATGTTTACCCAAACTTTCCACTAGGTTTCTCCAAGAATAGATTTGAGCAGTATCATCGAAATCTGAAAAGAAATTTGATGGATTTCCCATCAGTTCAAACCCAGGCCTTAAATCATTCTCAATAAGCAGCTTCATTGCTTTGTCAAGAAATGTGAAATTATAGACAAGTTTATCATTTTCCAATTTCATGGAAACTAGGTCTAGCAACCAGTGAATTCGCACTTGCTTTATACCATTGTTCGGTACAGAACCCACATAAGCCAGGTTTTGGAGCTCGTCATTTGCGAATATGAACTTGTGAAAGTCTTGATGAGGGTCTGGTGGACAGAAGCCCGTGCTCTCCCAGAAGTGTTCCAATGGACCAATAACTTTGCTTGCGTCCACAACTGCATTTCCACTGAAAGATTTAGTTTCCACTCTATTTGCCAGCAAAACCAGTACAACATAAACTAGTCCTTTAAGGCACATATTACCACCAGCCATACTCGTGCGGTATTTCTCGGACACGTTAGCTTGTCGCATTGGGATGTTGACAGAATTCGAGCCAGAGTGAGGTCTGGAAAGCAGTGATGAGTTGATTCCAGCCTCTTTTCCTAAATGATTTATTTCACTTACAACTCTGTTTGGTTCGACCAGCAACGAAGCGACCATTCTTTCAATTGATCCGTATGAATTACAAGTCTTAAAATCTTTTCAACACCATGACATGTTGTGAAGGAAAGGTCTAAAAGAGTCAAAAGGTGAGAGAAACGTGGGAAATATTTCCGTATGACCCATACCACTCTAAAGCGAAGCCTTACCAGTCCTAAAGACTACCAATTTTTTTGCCATTGTTTTCTTTTATCCATGCATTTAAGCAGTATGCATAATGAAGTGTGTGGTCATGCAGAAATCTTGCCGAAACGTGTAAATTTTGGTGATTCCTTTCGAAATATTGTTTTGTTGTGTGTAAAAAAAGCAAATAATTCAAGCTTTTAATTTAATTGGTTCGAACCACCGTTTTCCTTCTTTTGTTGATCAATTTTGACGAGTCCTTCATACTCTTGTCCTCGCGATTTTGAACCGTCAGCCGAACTTGCTCCGTCGGTAATTGTTCGTCTGAAGTACGAGTGAATAACTGAACATGTACCTTTTGAGCCTTCTACGTTTCATGGAACTTTTTTGAAGATAGCAAACCTTCATAACGATATTGCCAGGCCCAGAGAAAAGTCCAGGACCCCATACTGAGTTGGACCAATAAGAAAAAGAGCAAATAATATTAAACCATGGTATACGTAGCCATGGAGAGCTATAAGGTAATCTTTTGGGCTTGTTCACAAGATATAGAAGGGGTTGAGCTTACTTCGAATTTTTAACATCATGATGGATAGGCAATCATCAGCACAGTTTAGCCTGTATTGAGTGGTCACCCATGACCACTTTATAAAGGTGAAACTGACAGTGATTAAAGGGAAACATATTTGGGACTTTCACCGCCAGCTGCTTGACACAGGGTGACTGCTTGATACAGGGTGACTGCTTGATACATGGTGACTGCTTCATGCAGGGTGACGGCTTAATACGGTGTCGCTGCAGGTGATTCTTTAGGAAAAAAACAATTGGACAATTGAACTCTCCTTAAATGTTCCTTACAATGTCTGTTCTGAAAAATACAATAAAAAAGATGGGTCACCATGCTTCTTTAAGAGATATTATGGGCCAAACTTACCCTATTTATGCCTAGTACCTGGCATAATCACGTGTGTCATTTCACTGGTTCATGGTACATTTTGCTGTAGCTGGAAGTAAGGGTCTTTAGAGTAACACTTGAAAAAAAAAATGAGAGGTGGAAAGTCTTGTGGGTATTGAACAATTTGATATACAATTTGTGGGAAAATCATGCAAATTTAATTTAAATTTTAACATTGACTCAAAACATTTCTCAAGTTGTTCCTTTCAAGATCATAATTTGGATCCTCTAGTAATGGGCTTCATGCATGCTTTTAGATCTATCTTTTATTCCCTTTGAAGAAGTGCATGAAGAAGTCGGAGTGCGTGTGTGCTTATTTGCTTGATTACCTGTCAGTGATTTTTATGTGCACTACAGGATATACAGAGAAATACTGAGGAATTACCTTAACATAGGTTTTGACTGTAAGATGATATTTTTTATGCTCACAATCTAAAATGCTCAAATTAAATACTCTACTCAAACCTTCTGAGATGGACATTTAATTTTTTCTGGGATTTTAATAAGTAAGGGGTTTTTGGGAATTAAGGTTGTCTTGGGGTTTTATTTATACCTGTAATATTAACCCTAAATATTTAGCAGCAGTTATAGATTATTTCCTTGAAACTGTCATCATCAGCATTACCATGTCAATCAGTTACTGTTAAACATACAATTCACCAACTCAATGAGTCATGTATTGTCAGTGGTTTAATGCATGCGCATTAAAGTGAGGTGGGGGAGTTCTTGTTGGGGTTTGCCATATTGCATTGCAGTTGTTGTGTGTGTAAGTTTATCCAGCCAAATTGAACCCATTTTGAAACCATCGGAGGGTTTCTCAGCATCTAACACTGGTGACAAGGATGGGATGGACTAACTAACAAAGAATGGCGGCAGTTAATATCGAAATTCAAGGTGTAGCTCCTTTTGATTGCAAAGATAATTCACCTGCATTGGGACTACGTTGGAAGAAATGGCTTCAATCATTTCAATACTTTCTTGTGGCCAAAGGAGTGGTGAACGATGCCCAAGAAGACTTTGTTACTTCACACCACAGGAATAGAGGTTCAGGAGTTGCACGAAATGCTCAATGATCCAGGCCTGATGAAAGAATTTGAAGAGGGTACGGCTACCAATTTTGAGAAAGTGGTACATACTCTCAATGCATATTTTGTCGCCAAGCTTAGTGAACCGTATGAGCGACATGTATTCAGGAGCATGGCTCAACAGGAGAGAGACAGTCAGCCTAGCATAGCTAGGCTTAGGAAGCAAGTACAAAAGTGTAATTATGTAAATTCAGATTTTGACATCAGGGATCAAGTTATTGATAAATGTTGATCATCAGAATTAAGAAAAAAATTGTTGGCAAAGGAACATCTTACTATTCAGAAAGTGCAAGAGGTAGCTTGGTCGATGGAAGCAGTTGACCTTCAGGCTAAGAAAATGGGAGCACAGGATTCTGTATCTTCAACACAGGAATCCTTGGGAGTGAATGAAGTTGTCTCATTCCCTGATTCAAGGCCCCCTAAACAGCAAAAAGGGAAGAAAAGGCTAGGCTGATGCTACTGGTGTGGTCAAGAGGGACATTTTAGCAAGGATAAAATTTGCCCAGCTCGTTTAAGTGTATGCATGAAGTGTAAGAAAGTGGGTCATTATGCAAGTGTATGCCAGACAAAACCCAGCAATGATTCAACAACCGCAAACAAGTCAATTGGTAGAAAGAGAGGGCCTGGAAAAATAAAATACCTGGAAGTGGTCAAGGAGGAAACAGAGGATGACGAAGTTCTGGGCATTTTTGTAATGAAAGATTCTGGAAAGGATGAACACATCCCGATTTTCATGTCAGTGATGTTGGATCATAAGAGTTGTAAAGTGCAATTGGATACCGGAGCCACAGTGTCTATCTTACCTAGGGTCCTGTATGATCAGCAGTTTAACCAATGGCCCTTACATGGTACCAAGATGAAGTTGAAGGCTTACAATGGTGTCCGAATTCCTGTCTATGGTGAGGTTCATTTGCCTGTGGTCTATGAACAACAGGAACTGGTGCTTCCTTTGATTGTTGTGGATGGAGAGGGCCCTCCACTGCTGGGCAGAAACTGGTTGGAGCAACTGAAGTTAAATTGGCACAATACCTGTCATGTGAGCAAGGCTGACACTGTCTGATGTTCTAAGTCAGCACAAAATGGTATTCAACAAGGGACTGGGAACCATCAAAGATTTTAAGGCAGATATAAAGTTGCAAGATGGTGCAAACCGATATTCTGCAAAGCTGGTCCAGTTCCCTACATACTACGCAAAAAGGTGGAAGAAGAATTAGACAATTTGGAGAAGTTAGGAGTCATAAAGAAAGTGGAACAGAGTGACTGGGTTTCTCCCATTGTCTGCGTACCCAAGAAAGATGGAAGTCTACGCATCTGTGGTGATTTCAAGGTGTTGGTGAACCGGGTCCTTCTAGACAACCCTTACCCACTGCTGGACATGAAAGATATATTTGCCACATTAGGAAGTGGAACTGTGTTCAGCAAGATTGATTTGTCAAACACCTATCAGCAAATGGAACTGAACATGAAAAGCCAACAATACCAAACTGTGAACGCTCACAAAGGATTATATGCCTATCAACATCTAACCTATGGTATCGCCTCTGCCCCTGCACTCTTTCAGTCAACTGTGGATCAGATATTACAGGGAATGGACAATGTGTGTTGTTGTATTGATGACATCATAATCAGAACTGATCCCCATGAACACTTGCAAGTATTAGATGAGGTGTTGACCCAGCTGGAGAGGCATGGCATATTAGCTAAGAAGTCTAAGTGTGAGTTCATGGTACCAAGTATAGAGTTCCTAGGTTACCATGTAGACAGGGAAGGCCAACATCCCACAGATGAGAAGATTGCAGTTATTAGCAAAGCGCCAAGTCCAAAGAACGTAGCAGAATTTCACTCTTACTTAGGGCTGCTGAACTACTATGGACACTTCATTCCTAATCTTTCCACCCTCCTTCAGCAGTTACATGAATTGCTTCAGAAAGGCTTGAAATGGGAGTGGTCCAAAGAGTGTGAAGAAGCTTTCCAGCAAAGTAAATCTGAGCTTATGGTTCCATATGATGAGAAAAGGAAGCTGATTCTAGCATGTGATGTTTCTCCGTATGGTGTAGGAGTGGTGATTTCACACGTAATGGATGATGGAGAAGAACACCCCATTGTATTTGCGTCAAGAACACTTACAAATAGTGAAAGTGACTATTCACAAATAGAGAAGGAAGCTCTACCTATTATTTTTGGAGTATGAAAATTCTACAAGTACCTGTATGGATGTCTGTTTCATCTGTATACAGACCACAAGCCTTTAGTGACCATTCTGGGTCCAAAAACAGCAAGACCAACCCTAGCAGCAGCCAGAATGTAATGCTGGGCAGTAATTTTACAGGCTTACAACTACCAAGTGGAGTATTGACCATCTAAAGAACATGGTAATGCTGATGCATTATCATGCCTCCCTTGCAATGATTTGTGATTGAAGGAAGAGGCTGAAATCTTTTTCTTCTCTGGTCTTGAAGAATTGCCCATTGATGCAAAGGACATTAATAAAGGAGACCAGAAGAGATCCTGAACTAGCAAGAGTGTTAAATTATATGCTAACTGGATGGCCAAATTATGTAACCAGTGAAGAAATGAAACAATATTTCACACGAAGACATGAGCTATTAGTTGACCAAGGATGTGTCTTATGGGGAATGCATGTTATCATTCTGCCATCGCTTAGAAACAGACTGTTGCAAGAATTACACAAAGAACATCCAGGTATTGTTGCAATGAAAGCAATGGCGCGAAGTTACATTTGGTTGCCAAATTTGAATGCTGAAATTGAGTTGAGTGGGAGAATCTGTGAAGTTTGTCAAGCAGTGCGGAATGCACTCCCTAGTGCACCATTGTACCCATGAAGATGTCCTACTTAGGTGTGGCAAGGAGTGCATGTTGATTTTGCAGAGAAATATAGCAATTACTTCCTTGGGTTGATTGACAGCCATTCCAAGTGGATAGAGGTGGCACACATGAGATCCACAACTGCTCAAAGCACTATTGATCAAATGAAACTATGGTTTGCTGCATATGGATTGCCAGAAGAAGTGATCTCAGACAACGGACCCCAATTCATTTCCCAGGAATTGACAGATTTCCTTAAACAGAATGGAGTTAAACAAACACTGGTACCTCCGTACCATCCATTGTCCAATGGGGCAGCAGAGCACACAGTCCAGATCTTGAAGAGAGCATTACGCAAACATGCTGAAAGTGTGAGAGGAGGCAGCAAGAAATGTTCACTGAAACACCAACTAGCCAACCAGTATCGAAACACTCCTCATTCAGTGACAGGAGTAACACTATCAGAACTGTTCTTGAAATGAAAACCTTTCACCAAGTTCAGTATTCTCCTTCCAAACATGGAAGAGCACATCCAGAACCAACAAGGCATACAGCAGTGGCAGCATGATAAGAGTCATGATAAATTGCGTAAACTGTCACCATGTGACTTGGTGAATGTGCAAAATACCCAGGGAGGAATAGAGATGTGGGTTCCAAGCACAGTGATAAGAAGGTTGGGACCATTGACCTACCTGGTGAGAGTTGGTCACCAACTATGTTATGTCCACATTAATCACCTCCTACAGACAGAGTGTGTAAATTGTGGAGAGGCTTTTGAGGAAGTGGTTCCTGAGGAGTCATCAGTTCCATTGTCAGGATTGAGTACACCACCAACAGTGTCAGGCTCGAGTACACCACCACCACCAAGTGTTGGTGTTTCAATGACAACTCAAGACCAACCCACTGAGACTCAGAAACCTACAGCTGAACCAATTCTTCAGTCCTCAACTCGAGACTCTCTAGCAGCTCAAGAGCCAGTTTCTATGTCTCCAGAGCAGATTCCTGTTGCAGTTCCAGAGCTTGAACTACCATCTCTGGTGCAGCACCCAAGTGAGACCAGTCCAAGGAACATGCCCATAAGAGCTGAGCGCAGATACCTAGCCAGAGAGAGAAAAGCCCCCGAGGCTTAACTTGGGACTTTAAGAACATTTTAAGGCTAAGAACACTTTCTACTCTCAGTAGATGTTTTGTTGATAGTAGAAAGGTTAAGTTTGTTGTTACCATGTATTTTTGGTGTAGCTTGAAGCATTTGTGACACATATTTTAAAGGGGGAGGAAATGTCATGTATTATCAGTGGTTTAATGTGTGTGCATTAAAGTGAGGTGCTGGAGTTCTTGTTGGGGTTTGCCATGTTGAATTGCAGTTGTTGTGTGTGTAAGTTTATCCAGCCAAATCGAACCCATTTGAAACCATCTGAAGGTTTCTCAGTATCTAACACAATGAATTACTGACTTCATGAAATTTAAGAACAACATCAATCCAAGCACTTTCTGTTTTGCAAATTTCTCAGAAAATATAATGCTGATAGTGCCAGAAGTCAAGCATGGTGATTTCTTCAAAGATGGTAAAGTAAAGTGAAGGAGGGTAGTCTGCTATGGAGAGCCTGGAAAGTGTAAGCAATGATAATGGAAGAACAACTGACCCTGAGTCTGGAAGATGTGGAAATGTAGAACAAGAAACAACAGATGATTGGAATGGTGAAATTGGATTACTGAAGGATGATGAAATGCTCCCTAACAGAGAAATTCGTCTAAACAGTAAAGAGGCCAGTGCTGATGATCTTCAAGGTCAAACTGCTTCTCATCACAAACAGCAGCACCATTTAAGCTGGAAGATTGCTCTTAAAAAGGCTAAAAGTTTACCTGATCCTTGGGAAAAATTTCATATTGATGACTCGTGCCCTACAGAAGTTGCCATAAGACATCGATACAATGCACTGAAAAAAAACTGGCTACAGGATGAAGTGAGAGTCAAAATGGAATTATTGGTGAGTCTTGTTGAATTTAAATGAATTATTGTTTATGGTATGTAGTTCTCAGTTATCTCCAAATTGTTATATTTACAGCTAATGGGCAAGAAATGGGAAGCTTGCATTGTACATTTAGTTGTAGCTCTAACACTGAGTAGTCCATTGAAACCCAACAAAACTATGACTCAAAGCATTTGTAGACTCAAACAACAACTCAACTGCTCAAGAGTAATTGAACTATGATGCAAAAAATATATCACTTTGGAAGTTGCAATTAAATATTCTGCTGATTGTTTCAACTAATTACATTAAGTAAGAGAAGTGAATCATACCTGAATTACCAGGCAACGGACATATTGAATACTGAGACCTTTGAACCCCCAGAATATTTGACACGGAATAACCTCTTGATTTTTAAGCTGACATGTTCTTTTTGAAGTGATGTATTTACTCTCTTCCTGTAGCCATTTGATCAAGGAGCCATGAGGGAGTGCTTTAGATTGTAAGTACTGTTTGATAATTGTCAATAAAACTTTGCATTGCAGACTGATTTCTGATCTTTATGTTTAAAAGGTATCACAGACATACTCTTCTAATAGAAGATAAGCATGATTTTTAAGATATCTGTTCATTGGAAATTTGGCTGCAGTTAGAACTCCTGCAAAAAAATCAAATGATATCTGGTATTTTTCCCAATAGGATGTCACCAAAATTGCTGAATGACATAAATATTACAAAAAGAAGTTCAAAATTTAACGAAGAGACAGGCTCGTGTTTTATTCTATTTTTTTTACCACCACACAATGTTTGGTTACTCCCTTAACTCACTATCATAGAACAGATGACAAATAGTAGATTGCGGCATTTGTGATAAAATGCTAGATACTAATATACATGCATAACTGCAAGAGAACAATTTTTCTAAAAACAAACCAGCAAAATGCCACATATAGAATTGACCACAAATGTCTTCTTTTTCTTTACTATTTACCAGAACAATTTTGTTAGGACCACGAAAACTGCAAATAGCTTTGCAGTGGCTTTATTGGTAGAAAAAAAAGAAGGGCCAAAGACTTAAAACTGAATAAATCTGTTTCAAATTGGCTAAATTAGGGCAGCTTTAAATTGGTTTGAAAGGGGAACAGTTCATGCCTAATCTACAACTGTTTTCCTGCATAGAAGTACATTGTATTATGTGATGGAGTACAAAAATGTTTTTGGATGTTTAATATTTTACACTTCTTCCCATTTTACAAAGTATAACCCTAATACATAATTTTGTCTATTTTACTGCCTTGCAGTATTTTTATGTGTTTTAAAAATTAAGATTAGTTTCATTTCTGTCCACTTCTATAAAGAGTATGTAATCAGTCAATTAACTGAAATATTTTGAAATCCTATTATGTTTTAACTATTTCCTCCTCTAACAGGAAGAAGCTCTCCAATTTCTCAAAGCACATGAATTGGAAGCATGCAGCTAATTATGTTTGTAAAAGGTATATTGATGAAGTGAGCAGAAAAGTGTATTTTGATGATGTTAGACTGCAAATGGATGCCAAGCTTTGGGGTGAAGAGTTTAACAGACATAACCCACCAAAAAAGGTTTGATGAATAGTTAGAATTACACTTTCAATTTTGATTTTTTACCTTTTGTTTATTGTTTGGACCACAAACTCACTGTCGAATACTGTATCAGTGAATGGGACACTGTCATGTGGAAACTGAATTTACTGTGTGCTAAAGCTTCTCGTTTGCATTATGAATTTTCTTGGCATTCATTTAAAATCATCCCCTATAACTATCACCCAACATGGAATGTTAAGTCATTTCTGGATATGGGATGGGTGGATGATTAACCTTGAAATGACATGGGAAAGCTTTAATTTCTTGGGACTCAAAACGTTGTTGGTTAGTGAGGTGTTTACAGATTATGTTATAGTCTCCTTGTACTTCCAATGAGTAGTATGCTTGTAACACAGTATATAAACCTTGTAATGGCTCAGCTCACTATTCAACTTCTCTGTAGCTCAGTAATAAAGCTTATGAGGCACTCAGATAAATCTACTTTCAAGGGCAACAAACAGTCCTATATTTCAGTGTTTTAAGCCTTGTTTTTAAACCTTGTTGATCTGCAATTTGAACATTCAATTGCGAAAAAAACACTATATCAATGAACTGTATTCTGGAATGATTGTAACCTCCCCTTTTTTCAAATACACAAAATGAAAGACAGACTCTATGCTTTGATAACTGGCTTCTCGAATGTATATTTCTGCTCAGAGATAGGTGACATTCTGGATAAAAAGAGAAGAAACATATGCTTTTGAAGAATAAGTTAAAAAATAGGGAAATGAAAGGAAAGGAAAACTAGAACTTGCTCTTGCCTGGGGTAGATCTCTTGACCTTCCACTTGCAGGAAGAAGCACAAATCATTGCGCCATGTAAGCAAATGTAATTTGAGAGAGATGATGTCCTTTCCCTGAGTGGATCAATAGTTTCAAAACCCCTTCATAATTCATTTTCCGAGTTCAGTGGCTCACAGCCACTTTAACTTTCATGTTTCTTCGCTTTGTTTGTATGCGGGCAATTTTTTAGGATTCAACCTCAATTTCATCAAGGAAGTGGTAATTTTGATTTTAATTGCACAATTGTTACCTTTATCCTTTATCACAGCATTCAATGACCTATTTACTTGGTGCTGTGCCTTGTTAGGGTAGCAGTTTTTTGACGAATTGGTAACAAGTCATGGCTGCACCAATGCTTTCATAAGTCACATCACCCTTATTGCTTCCAGCTACATTGCCTTTAGCTCTGCTAAATGAACCCTCCATTAGTTAACTTTGTATTTAAGGGGACCTTTTTAACTAAGAGCGGCACTTAAGAAAGTCCACTTATAGAGAAATGAACCTTGTAAGAGGACATTTGAGACCCAGTGTAAACTCAGAGCACCGTAGACTCATATACCACAGTGGGTGCCTATATTTGTACAAGCGGTTGTTAATATTGGTCTGAACTGCACATGGTGTTGCATATGTATAACCTGTGTCGAATATGTTGTTTGTTTGTTTGTTTTTCATTCCCCTTGCAGCAGGCACCCCCCAACAAAACTGCCAGCTAGGCACACTAGTTATTTAGACCTCGCATGTAAAATTGCCTACTCATTACACAACAAATCCCCAAGGAAGCTCGAATTAACACTTCAATAGTGCCTATTTAGGTCCAAGGTTTGATTACTCAGGAGGACTCAGTTCTGTTTTTGTGTCATGCCCATGGCAAAACAAATAACATATTTCATTATTCTACAACTAAGCTTAAAATTTGCAATCTTACGTATTCTATATCATCAACACCCTGTTTCAATCCATTTTACCCCAACAATTACAACTGAAGGACCAGCCAGTTAATGCACTGTCCTTTTTCCTTCTTTGCCCAATAATAGTTACCTTAAACTGTTGCTTCTTTTATCAATCTAGAACACTAATTTTATTGTTTTACAAACAGGTAGATATTTTCCAGGTTTGTGTAATTGAACTGAAAGACAGAGAAGGATCACCTTTGTTTCACTTAGAGCACTTTATTGAAGGAAAGTATATAAAGTACAACTCAAACTCAGGTTACGTGCTGCAAGATGAAACTCTCCGTTGCACTCCCCAGGTGAGCACAGGCCTAAGATGTCCCAGTTGCCCATTCAGTAAATATCAATAAACTTCTGTTGATGAACAAGAACCAAAACTTGGGAGGGAATGAAGGAAGGAAGGAAGACATGATGGGAAGAACTTATAAGAAAGGGAAGGGAGAGATGGGTAGGTTCAAGAAAGGAAGGTGTGAAGGAAGGAATAATGGATGGTGGATGAATGGATAGTTTGCACTTGGAGAGTAAACAGTCATAAAACTAGTCAAGAATTCTGCATAGATGTGCAATTTGTCTTCCCCTCAAACTCACATGATGTTTATGAGACATGACTATCGTGGTGTCATGTTTGGGCTGTTCAAAATGTTTCGATCCGAGTAATTAAGGCTAATGGAACCTTTTTCTGGTCTGCCATTTCATCTCAGCCAAACCAAATGGTACTTTTATATGCCAATATTGATATTCTTCCATACAATATATATAGATATATATGATAATTTAATCTATAATGGTAATTGAACTTAGTGGAGTGCAATGTGGTGTGAAATTATACGTTTGTTTGCGCAAGTTTCATTTGAAATCAATATTATGATTTCAGACCAAAATTGCACGACATGAAATTTTAAATTACCACAGTAATACGTCCATTCGGAAATTGCAAAACTCAGTCGCTCAAATACATGATTTTTTAGTCTGTGCAGATATTTTATTGATCAAGTGCTGTAGTGGTTTGTAATTGTAGTGGTAGTGATTTGTGTTTCATATTCCTTTAATTTGATTTGCTACTTTAAACAAGCCTTGAAATTTGATTGGTTGTTGTGTTTTGGTCTAGCCTCTCATTTGCTGGGGAAAAAGATGCGACTTTGAGAGCAAAAAAAGTTGCGATTCATAAATCATCAGTGATTTCAAAATTGATGTAATATACTTTTACAATTGCACTTTCCAGCATGGACGATCGAACTGTGTTTAGTAGACAAAAATTCATTCAAGTTTTTCTTCTGAGGAATGTTGTCATACAGAAGGTTCCTAACTTAGGTTCTAAGGTTCCTAAGCGATACAACTGACATAAAGTTTTCAATTCACAGGCATTTAGCCATTTTACATTTGAGAGGTCTGGCCATCAACTGATTGTAGTTGACATTCAAGGTGAGATTCATGTTTGTAGCCAGGATCTGAACAATTGAAGCGACCGATGGTAGTAGATGTCAGCTAATTGATTGATATTGGTGATTGATAGGCAATCAATCGCGCAGTTTTAACGAGTATCAATTGTCATCGATTGTCAATTACATCCGTTCGATAATCGATTCTCATCGATTGACCAAAAAACATTGACTGTCATCATCGAAGTCCTGTTTCGATCTCTTTTCATCCTACACACAGTAATCTCGACTCTTGTCTTTCTCTTTCTTCTCTTTCTTCTCTTTTTCTTCTCTTTTTCTTCTCTTTGTCTTTCATCTCTTTCATTCTTCTCTTTCTCTTCTCTTTCTCTTTCTTCCCTTTCATTCTTCTCTTTCTCTTTCTTCTCTTTCATTCTTCTCTCACATAGCGAAAAAAAAAACTTAACATGTTAAAAAATTCATGTGATGGTTACTGGCTAGCAAGTGTAACCAGCGGAGAAGGAGAGGTGATAGTGGAAAACAGCGAAGGTTTTTTTTTTCTGTCTCAATTTCCGCTTGTGTTAATTTTAAGTTTAAACAGCAAGGGTTTTTTTTTATCCTGTGTAAGCTTTCGCGTCCTTTATGACGTTTTACTTATCACGTTGTAGTAATCATACAGTGTATCTTTAAAAACGTGGTTGTTCGTTCTATCATTTTTAAATTTTTTGCCCACCGCTATCACTTTAGGAGTTGGCGATCTGTACACGGACCCTCAGATTCATACATCAGATGGAGAGGATTACGGCGAAGCCAACTTGGGCCCAAGGGGGATGGCACTGTTCTTCAGTTCTCATAGATGTAACAAGTAAGCTCAAGTCTGTACTTAATAATATTATCACTGCTACTGTGCTTTAGTCACTTGCATTGCATTCTGGTGAACTTCAGGTGATTAGGTAAACTGGTCATACGTCATCTTATGAAGCATTCAAGATTCGGAGGCTACTCTCCCGCTATCTCTGTTTTAACGTTCATGTTGTTGGGGTGGAGACACCTATTGGACCCACTGTGTGTCGTAGTGACGATAAAAGCGGGCGTTGTTGTGCCAGTGTTGTGTGCGTGCTCTAGGTAGCTGCTGCACATTTTCAATTTCTTATTTCTTATTACACCCCAAGCTCTGCACAACTGTGTAGACACTCCAGGCATTCTATATGGCAGTAACTTAATTTCTGTTCGCATTTTCATAGAATCTGTCATAGCCTTGGACTTTCCCAGTTTGACCTCAGTAAAAAAGAATTGGTTCGGATTGACAAAACCCTGGAAAACATCCAAGACTCCAGCACAATTGTTAAAAGTATTGACGATTGCACATCTCCTGGTCACCGCAAAATTTCCTCAGCCATATTTGACATGACGGAATATCTAGCCCAGTCTCCTCCTCTGTCTCCTGCTGGTTCGGAGCCAGATTCCCCCAGGTGTTCACTGTCATCATGTAATGAATTATCAAGATATTCTCGACAGATATCTGACCCAGAATCGTCATCATCTGAGACTGAAAGTGATCAAAGTGATGTGTTCACTGAGAACGAGGTAACTACATATACATATACTCGTATGTTTTTACCTTTCTTACTGTTAACAAAATCTGGCGAAATTTTTCAACATTTCTCTTTTTGCTCTTTGCTCTTCATTTGCGAAGGAGAGTTTGTATTATTCCGGTGTCCATTCTCTGGTTTCAAATTATCAGTCAATAAAAATTATGGCAGTATTTGTTGGGTGGAATTAGGAAGTAACTCTCAGTTCTTTGTTCTTTTTTTGTACAACATTTCAAACTTGCTTGCAGGATGAGAATTTCCGCAAATCATTTGCTGATAGTCTGGAACATAAGGCATCAAGTGTATTTGCCGAGGTTAAACTGCTTGGTGATGTTCGTCTGAAGCATCAGAGAAGGTCACACAAGGGTGACTCTGTTCTCGGAGAGGTCAGTATTGACGTCGTACTTATGTTTTTTTGCTGTACTTTATCAGTTTGTTATCAGCCACAGTGACAGCCCACCTACCATCGTTTCAATGCCTATACATCCTAGTCTGGGCTTTGATCATTCTTTTTAACTCTGTTTGTGCGCCTGAATCCCATACGTGGGGTTTCGGGAGAGAATGACAAATCTAATGTGGTCCATCAGACAAGATCAAAGTTTCAGATAAATAATTTTGGTTGATTTCTGTATCAGTCATCGATTAAATTTCGTCAAAGTATTTGTTAGGAACGTACATCCAAAGTGAACAAAACTTGACAAATTACTATTACAAGTAAATAACCAAACTTTCACCTCACATATTTAATCAGGAACTGAACTGGCAGAATATCTAATCGAATATTCCCCAGCTAAAACTTGGAAATATCCGAGGATATGCTCCAAGTAATATTCCCAGAGGGATATTGGCCAATTTTCAAACCGTGCGTCCACTACGACTAAAGTCTTTGTTTAAAGTTTTATTTAAGAGGAGACAGCGTAGAGCTATTGTTTCAGAAGAAGGAAGATATTTGTTCGTTCACAAAATCGTACAAGGGAACAATGAAAAGTAAATATTCCACGCAGCAAACTATAAGCTGTTCGTTGACATTTTCCCGCGTGTTGCAAAAATATTTGAAGGAAAGTAACCACAGTAGTCTCCATTTGGCGCGAGAATATGTTCTTGTATTGGTCCTTTAACATCATTTTCCTCGTAGCTTACAGTTTTCCTTGAGCTTTCCTCTCGGAAAACTGTTCATTTCTCGGAACAGATAATGTCCGTGCATATTTTCGCACTAAATGGAGGCTATTGTTGACATAGGTCACATACGACATCAAAATGTGATAAGGGCAAAAAGTGGCTGCGAGTTGCAGCCGACTGTTCTTACCACAGTTTGACTTCATCTGTGATCTATAGATGAATTGGAGGTGACCAGTTTTGATAAAGGTGAAAAGTGTTAATAAAGGATTAAAACATGAGTGACAAAAATCCAGATAGCAGTCTACGATGTGGCTGAGCCCCTGCATCCTTCATTCCATTCTCCTGGTCAAATGACTTGTTGCTAAGACGAAACTGAACGTAGCAGCTTGGCTGAGTGGTTAGTGTACAATACGGTATCCAACAAGTGAATTCCCAAACTGTGTGTTTCAGTGGCAAGTCTTTCATTATGTGTTCTTTTTTTTTTCTATAGGTTCATCTCGAATTTGCTAAATGTAACGAGATCGGTCGTTTCACTAACAATGAGCCCCAAATGGAATGTGCCATGTTTCATCTAGAGCAAGCTGCAGCTTGTGCTGTTTTACCGGCTTTAATTGCAATGGCTGAAATCAATTTACAGCTGCCACACGACATATTGCCTTCAGTGACTGTCCAGGTAGCTTCGATGTGTTGAATTGGATATTTATTGGAAAAGCTGTAGTTTATCAGTCGGAAGTATCATTACAGTAACTTGAAATTCATAGCAAACACCCTGTGCTACTGTTTAAAATACTGTTTTACTTCTTTGTATTCTTTGTTCTCTTACAGGAATCTGAAGATGCCATGAACCGGGGGGTGTATTACATGTTGGAGGCAGCTCATTTGGGAGACAGGCAAGCCATGGTGTACATGGCTAAGGCTTATGAAACTGGCTCAGGCCTAGGCTCGTTCAGGTACATTTTTGCCTCTCAAGTCTCATCAAAGGTGTACTGTTTATCGGTGGATAAATTTTTAATCAAAATTTAGTATTTGAATAAATATTCAGCAATCCAAGATACAATCTTTGGCCTTGAGGAAAATATTTTTGACACTGTTTTGTCCGGACCTATATATAATAAGAAGCGAGCTGTTGGAATCAGAAACATATTGCTAGCCATGTTGACACCCTTCTTCAATATTAAAGGTCATAAACAAGGTGTTTAAATTGAATCACTCTATGTTTAGGGAATGCACGTGGGTGGAGGCAGCCAAGTGGTATCAAAATGCCATTGACGTCGTGTACGAAAACGACGATCCACAGAACACGCTATTCACAGACCCTAACTACGTGCTGTATGCCAAGCAAGCGTACTTGTACCAACACGGAGGTCACGGGCTTGAAAAGCACCCTCAGATGGCCGGCGAACTCTATTCGGCAGCTGGAGATTTAGCACTTGCTGCCATGAAGGGAAAACTAGCGAATAAGTACTTTGCACTGGCTGAGGAGGCGTGGGCTGAAGATGACGAATAATCTGATCATGCTTTACACTGAGAGAGGCGTTAAAATCGAAGGATTTGACAGGCCACATATGCGCAGGCTTGTGTAGCTGTTTAGCTGTGTAGCTGTAGGAGTAGCTGTTTTTCTCCGTATAATCTCAGTTTAGCTAATACTCAAAGAGTAGAACCGCGAATTTAACGTGGACCCTAAATCTCGGATAATTTTGTAGAAAATTTAAGTTATTTCGAAAGCGAAAGTTTATTTACACGTACAGAGTATTAACTAATTTAAAGTGAGATTACCCAGTTTTACCAGTATTGAACAGCTGCTGGCTATAACTTTCGCATGCGTCATTTTTAAACAACCTTGCATTATCATGCGTTTGGCAAGGTGGATACTAGACTTCGCCCACCTTGTTGTGTTCACGGCACTGGACGTAAAACCCCTCTCATGCTCTCTACCCAGATTGCCGTTTATGGAGGGAGACACTCACGTTAAGGTTGAAATATTTCGGTATGTTCGTTTTCGAGATTTTTTTTTGCATTGGGAAGTTCGACTTTACTTGGTAGGATGAGAGAGATCAATTCTTTTGCTTTTTGGTAAACTCATCCTTTTTTCAGACGAGAAAAGGGTTGCAGATTTCTACATGATAGGCATTTCCTTAATCATTGCTTCATTTGTAGAGGATCTACTTACTTCACACTCCTTCGTCCTTTCCATAATTGATCGCCTTTCATTAATTAAAAGTGCGTTTTTCATAAGGGCTATTTACACTAAACATTCACGGCATTTCGCGTAGGTGTCCTCCGGTTTTGCATGTCATTTGTCAACAAAAGTGTGGCATTGAATTTCCTCTATTTTCAATAAATGAGCCGATTCCAAGGAGGTTTTGCACTCGAATTAGCGATCAGCCACCATCTGAACCTACCTGTTAAAGTGGCATGTGTTGTATCTGAGCAAAAAGGCGCGTGAGAATTGACAACTCAACCGAAACGTTGAATAACCATTCTAGACGAACATGTGGTCAAGTATTTGGAGGCAAAATTCGATTTCAAAGCAAAAGGAATTAGGAAAAGGATTAGCCTGCCAGATAGCTTATAGCTAGTACCTAGTAAAGGGAGGTTAAGAAACGAATGCGATGCGTTCGCTGCAATTTTGCCTTCAATCTGCTATTGAGACGAAAGGTTTGGGGTGTACAGGGATGGAAGGGAAACGGAATATATCATACTTCTCGCCTAAACTGACCAAATTGGGGGAGACTATCTCTGAACATCCGCTTGGCGGATTTCCAACCCAAAAGAGACTTAGAACTCCACTTTCACTTGCGTTTATTGCGTCTTCAACGTAAATCCCATGTAAATCGAAATAACAGTTTCAAGGCACTATTTTTATACAAACGGTTCTGAAATCATTTCATAAGCTAAGCGAATACTAAATGTTACCCAAGCGTTCGAATAACTAAAAATAACTTGTAAAGTATGTGATCACGTGTCTTAATTGTCTTATTGCAAGGTACAACTGAAGAAAATACTCGAAGTTCGGTTTAGAAATGCAAATAAGATTTCCCGCCACGTCTACAGTTTAAGATAACTTTAGGAGTTATTAGTTTTCCGCAATTTTACTTGAGATCATACGATCCCACTTTACAGTAACTGAATAACAGTACTTTGACTAAGTCTTACAACTAAACAATCACTCGTTTTCAGTATTTTTAACTGGACCACCATGAAGATTCGATTTAGTGCCCTCGTTTCATTAGGCGCCTCCTCTCTAGTAAGCGCCCTCCTCGAATTTGATTTTGTCAATAAGCGCCCCTATTTTAAAATGCGCCCCTGTTGCATAAGGACCCTCACTTCAGTGAGCGCCCCTATTCTGTTTCAAGAGTACATTCCCTACCATTATTTTGCCAATAATCGCTGTACATTTGTGAATTTTAAAGTTTCTGGTATTGTTCCTTTAGTAAGTAAAGATCAAAGCTTTTTTTCGCACATTCTGCCATTTCTAAAAAAGAAATAAGAGTGTGGCGCCCTGTCTCGAATAAGCGCCCTGTTTCGAATAAGCGCCCTGTTTCGAATAAGCGCCCTACCTTGAGGTACCAAAGTAAATAAGCGGCCCGGGCGCTAAATCGAATCTTAACGTGATAACGTGTGAAATTACGATCTATTGTAATATCACTGAGTAACCTAATTCTTCCCTATTCGAGTGCGGTCAACGGCCATTTGCTCAGGAAATTGGCGCGAATAGGTCTTACTTGTTTTGGATAAGTATTTCTATACTACTTCTATTAAGTTGAATAAACCAAAAAGCATTAGAATGAAGCTGTCTCCATTACGATCAAGTGAAGGGTTTAGCGTAAAATGTTAAGACAAGGAGAAAAAGCAAAACCTTTCACGAGTAATTAAAGAAATAAGTCCATAACGAGAACTTAATCACACACATCTTCGATGGTTAAGCATTGCGAGCAATGGGCCTTTTTTCCGTACTTTTGCCTCTTCTACAGCTTATAAATAATGCATTTTTTTTCGCGTTTCATCGCCATAGCATAGTAAAATGGCGTAATAGTGGATTGACGGGAAGGTTACTTTTTTGATGATGATGATGACAAATACAGACTTTTAAACAGCTCACAGTTCACATCACTTCTATCATTTTTCATTTTGATGTGATATTCGGCCTGGATAGTCCTAACTTGATACAAATGTCGTTACAATGCGGATGCATCTCCTTCCAAAAACTGTCAATGCCACGCTGACTTAAATTCCCTGTTCCAAAACACTGGTATCGCACCGAGTGAATCTGAGGGTCGGTGAGAAATGTGCACTTTGCTTTGTCAGTAGTATCTGGAGTCCAACCTTGAATGTCGACGATCACCAGCTGCTGGTTTGATTCTTCGTATGTGAAGTGACTGAATGCCAACACTACGTCGGACATGTCGTCTTCTCTTCTTACAAAGCCAAAGTTGTTGGTGAGTTTGACGAATTCCCCTGCCATGTAGGGTTCCACGTTATATACGGCACCACTGACGGAGCCACACACGTCAACAAGTTGAAGTAACACTACAGGAAGGAACTGAATATCGCCCACATTCAAAGCTAGGAATGATAGGAATATAAACGTTAATTAATGGTTTTGGTTTCTAAACACGAGGATAAGCTTACTTTGTAAATGTACGGTCGACTCAGTTAAAAGTTATACCCACGGCAAATGTTCATACAGCGTTTATGTTTACTAAGAAATTATTCTGTGAAAGACAAACTGTGTTGTACATTACTTCCATTTCTTAGTCTTGCGCCGCAATGAACCCCAGCTGAACGAAACACCTAAGTCCTTCGAAGTTACATTCTTCTGAAAGGAAGCGAGGTATTAAAATTGGGGAATATAGTAGTTGTCCCGGATATTCCCCAAATTTTCCAAGGCATATTCAGTCATGTGACACGTTACGACCAATCGCACAAAGGTCAAAACATTTGACGGGTTATTATTAACAGCTATTAACAACATCTAAACTCTATAATAACAAAAGCTATCAGCATGTCTCGAAAAAAACAGTTAATTCTATTTCCCGAGAATCTTAAGGTCCTTCCACTGGCCTGAGTGATTTGACAGCGGATAATTAGATCCATGATCCGCCATGTCCTGTTCGACAATGGACCTGAAATTAGCCATTGGGCACAATGGGTTTTGCTTTAAACGTGATGGGTACATCATTTTCAAGCATCGACCATATCTTCACGCCAAATAAAAGCTTTTGTCTCTTGTAATACAAATAATAGATTTCCGCGGTTAATTTCGCCGAAACTGCATACAACACCAATTCCCATTATTCTGTACGCTAACCCTATGAATCGCCAAAAAAGTCAACGAATCGGAACCCAAAAGTAATTTTATGACCATGTGACTGTTATAATGATAGACATATTTCCAATAGGGGACCAAAAAAATTTTTGTCTGGTAAGCCGATAAATGGCGACATCCTCCTTAAACAGCAGTGCAAATCGCGCAATGTGTCGCAGGGTTGAAAGTATAAAACGCATAAAAGAGAATACATTATAGATTTGATTAAACTCAAATTTGCGCACAAGAGTATTATTGAGTATCTGTATCACACCTGCAAGATATAGCTGTTGGTTGAACAGTGTGACGTAATGACGAGCTGTCATCTGACAAATAACATCCTGTTGATACTGTTTGATATCTCTGGGCTTCTTATAACACTTCGCCACATACCTGAAATAAGATTACCAGTATATTGTTGAAACAACTCACCAATATTACTCCGTCAAATAGCATCTTATAAATTTGGTCAATCAATAAAGCACCCCTAACCAGTAGTTTTCTTGTTGTTGCCAATACCATAACATTCCAATCAATCCAGCCTCATACAAATCTTCGACCAAATCTCAGACAATATGTTTAGTTAATGGCAGAAAAAATCATAACTTGAAATTCATGATTAGCTCACACTGCTTGAATGAACTTTAGTAGTGATCGTTCTTTAAGATGCCCTCGAGAAGCCAGTTTATCCACAGTATTAACTTAATAATAGGTGTGTAACTTCCAACAAAACTTCTGGCAATGGTCCAGTTTTTCATTAATAAAAAATCAAAGCCTCTGTCTGAGCTCAAACAGACTCTGTAACAAGATGCAACTTGAGAAAAATAGTCGCTGCAAACTTCGAGGAAAAAAGTTACTAGAAAAATATTTCCATCCTCCAACTGGGATAAAAAAGATCGTGATAAACTTAAAGAAAATGGTATTGATAATAACAATTATGATAATAACAACAATAAAAACAATAAAAGTGTTTTTCAGTTTGAAATTCGACTGCAAGTTCACCGAGACATGCTGAAAGAAGTACCTTACCCTGCCAAAGGATCTTCTTGATCAACAAATTCAACCATATACGCATTTCTCTGTGCTCCCTCTTTACCTTCCTCCAACTCGAGTAAATCTCCAACATATGCCAACGTCTTTTCCCCTTTCCATTCACTCCGATGGTAGTCATATCTCCAAACAATAGCGGCTACAAAAAAAAAAAAAAAAGAAAAAAAAAAAAGAAAACCCTCAGTTAACAAGTACTTTTGACCAGAGAAAAATTACTATAATCCTTAATCATCATTCTTTTAAACATAAAGGGGACGCTGCGCTGAAGGATTCAACCCACTAATGCACATCCGTAAGGTACCCATCGATAAATTATCTTTTCCAGGAAATACCCTTACATTACTATCATCTCAAAAATCTTATCGTTCTATATTGATACCTAGATACCTAGAAAGACCTTTCACATCATCCAAACGGCAGTTTTCCTTGGACGTTACTATACCGCAACGTAATTCATCATACCACTATTCTGAAAAGAGGACCCTCTCGAAGAGGCACAACCCCGCACAGGCCATTATTGAATATACTCTCAAAACCTCGAAAAAACAGTCTTTTTCTTGCGAGGGAAATCTCTCACAACTCTCTCCAGCTCACTCAAAAAGGCAACTACTAATCAACGAGTAGTAACGCGAGTAATATTTCTATTTCATAATCCTTTACTTTATGTGGCATACGCATAGTGCCTGCATATGGTCTTCTTCTTCTTCTCCATTGTGAGACTTGTGAGTAAAATATCACACCCTCGTCTTGCCGCGCGTTTGATTGAAAACGAGAATAACTCAAAATAGATGTTCTCTCAAAAACTAGAGATAATTTCCTCGATTAGTACATCTTGTGTCATCAACATCGTTGCAAGAATTCTGTGCTTTTGTAAAACAGAATACTCTTCTAAGGTAGACTTGTTGGTTTCAGAAAGTAAGCCTCATTAGAAAACAGCTGTGCGCCAGCGCCTGCTCTCTGCGAAAATTTGGAGAAGCTGTTGACAGCTCCTTACTTTTAACAAAGATTGTTAAAATTCGCTGTAAAGCTCTGATAGTTTTTAATGAGAGAGACTTACTTTTAAGCAGGACCCGCTTTTTTTTTTTGCAAAAGATAAATAAAAAAAACTCGCACCTTATTCATTGTGAGACTTGTGAGAGAAAAAATATCACACCCTCACCTTGCCACGCGTTTGATTGAAAACGAAAATAACTCAAATACATGCTCTCGCAAAAACTAGAAATCATTGCTTTGATCAGTATATCTTGTATCATCAACATAGTTACACGAATTCGGCGCTTTTACAAAGAAGGATCCTTGTGTTAGGTAAACATGTTGGTTCTAAAAATGATGAGCGCCTCGTTTGAAAACAGCTGTGCGCCAGAAACATGGTCTTTAATCGCCTCGAGGCTCTCCAAAGAAAATCGTCACTTTCGATTGTATTTAGCACCAGTAGTAAGACCAAAAAATACATTTGTACGTTGACAAAACTGACTGGTAAAAACCAGGCGACTTGAATTACATATAGAGAGAGGTGGTTTAAATGAGTCACTGTAATACGGATAAATTTAATTATTTTTGAATTTGCGAACCTTTGGCTCGATGCGCTAAACAAGGGTCAAGTCTACCCCTGGGTACACCGATGGAGATTGATTTTACTAGTGCATATTTACACTACCCACTCCCCCAGTGCAGAAAAATTGTCACTCCGATAATTTTCTCGATCAGTTATGAGCTTTTCCGCCTCCCTTCGGCCAAAGTCCCTCAGGACTACCAATTACTCGAGAGTTTTGTTTGGAAAAGTTGATCCGGAACAATGGTCCATTTCTTAATACGCTAAAATCTCAACCCGTGGTTAAGTCGGGTAAACACACTAGTATCATGGTAGATGTAACATAGATAGGTTAGTGAACTGTAGATTAGTTACCTTGAACTTTATGCCTTGGATTGTTTATGGTTTGAGTTAGAAACTTATCATTGCTGATTGCCACCGTCTCCTGTTCCAGGTGTTGAATTATAACACAGGGATCTACAGTGTCGAAAGTCACTTCAAAGCTGTAACCTGACACATCAGTGGCTGGTTCTGGGGAATCTCTAGTTGAACTGCTTTCCCTTGTTTTACAACTCCTATCAACTGTTGAATCAATGCAGTTTGTCACTGGTGGCCTTGCTCCTGGGTTAGCAAGAGCGCTGTTGGAATTTTTGGGCTTTTTCGCCGTCAAGCTATCCGTGACCACAAGTCCTCCGCGGCGCACCTCCAAAAGAGTTTCGAGATCATCGGTTCGGATACTTCTTTCCACGGAACCTATCGAGCAGTCATTCAGTACCCTTGAATGCACAAAAACTGACTTACCCGTGTCTCCACACTGGTTTTCGTCAACAGTTAGGGAGAGGGCTTTTTTGCTGTCATCTTGAGGATCTACACACCACTGAGGCAACCCTAAAAAACCCAGACAGTGAGCAATTAGCGTGGCGATAACGTCATCCAAAATGATCATACCGCTGAAGTGGCAGTAGTGTTCATACATTGACATCGACATTCGTAATATTTCTTTCCCTTGTTCAGTGCAACCAGTTTCTGATGACAACTCTTCGTATGCAAGGCCAAGCTTATAAACTGCACAAACAAAGACAAAGAACTCCTCTCGGCTTTTCAACGACTGCAGGTCTTTGTGAGCTTGAATGCTGTCTTTGAAATCTTGAATGGAAACAATCAGACAGTTTTTCCTTGTAGCTCCACATGGAATCACTTTTGAGTAATGCAACAAACGTTCCCCGGCCTGACACTAAATGGGACACAAAATAGAGTATTGCTATCAAAATAACTCTCACCATAGTCACCTGTTTGTGCAAACCTCTTCCTGAAAGGAATTAAATGTGCAAAGAGAAAACAATTCACGTGGTAGCAGGGGCTTGACGCGATACTCACCCGAAATGGATGTGTATCGTCGCCGAAATGAACACAAACACCGACAGAAATAGTAACACTTAAACAAATATTAGAGCTTATACGATACATTTGTAATGATACTTATACACTTTTAACAAAGTAAACATTTCCACGAATAAAAATAAATCGAATTCTTTATGAGCAAACGGAAAACGATGTCGGATTAAAGAGTGAGCTGAAAATAGATTTGCACCGGACATCACCAGCCTCCCAAC